ATCTACACAGCAGGCAACTTGGTACGAATAAAATTATGGAGTAGTCGGCAGGTAAACTTAAGGGATAGAAAAAAACGAACACTAAAAGGATTAAAAATTCTTGGACTCTATTTTCACAAAACAACAGCAGTCATAGGTAACAGAAATGCATTCCTGAAGGTTAATTGGGCTCCAATTTTCAAGAAAGACAAGAATTTACATAAAAAAAGAATGGTAAATGCATCCTTGAAGCTAAATTTTCAATTTTGCATTTTTCCATCACTTTAAACATGTTGACTTAGCCAACCCCAAGTAGCGGGAAAAATGCTTGATGTTGTTGTTGTTGTTGTAGTTGTTGTTTTTGTTGTTGTTTAAACATGTTGACTTCTTAAAATAAAAAGACCCATAAGGTAATGTTGAAAAATAGCTGTAGAAATGTTGTAATAAACTGAAATCCATCGCCATAATTTTATTCTTAAAGAAAAACATCGGTAGCTAGTGTTTCTGAGCGCTAAAAATCATTTTAATACCTATTGTTCCCACCACTACAATCATTCATGGCTAATCAACATATGCAAGAATAAATTATAATATAAGCACATGAAGTGATATTCAAGTTTGCAATGACATGCAGGAATAGAATGCTTCTAGAATAATGAATACCAGTAGCAAATAAACCATCCCATAGATCATGCACTCCTACTTAACAAAATGGCTGAACAAATTCTTACAATACTAATCTAAAACCTTTTTATCCAACTTTAAGAGATCATAATCCTTATAGCATGCTGGCAGAGCCTTTTCTTGAGCATCGTCAATCTATAACCATCATAAATCCGCGAACTAAGTAATAACCCTCAACATGTGCTCGTCGAATCTTCCTTTTACTGATGGCATGTCATCTTACAAGCTGGTGCCAAAAGTACCAAAATGCAAGTTTGAAGTTTCATTCCCTCGTATAATCCAGCGCAGCAGAAAAAATTAAAATACAAAGCTTATCAATACTAAACGACAGGAATTATAAAGAATTCAAAACATCTTGCTAATAAAAAAACTGAAACTGTCGCATATGAAAGACTAAGCAAATTCTTCAAATCGAACACTGATAAAAAAGTTGAAGAACTTTTTGTTAAAATTCTGAAGGATACAGTTGCCAGTTTATTTCAAACACTAATACCATTGACCAAACAACTCATTCAAAGGACCACAAAGATCCATACTTTCTCAAATCAACATAGAAACATTTTGTCCATTTGGTGATAACAAAATTATGATCCTTCCAATTAAACACAAAAGTTCATGCCTACTCTAAAGTGCAGGAAAAAGAGGGTATAAAAACGGGTAGGAGGAAAAAAGAAACAATAGACATGAACCTTGTCCTCCATTTTTCTCATCGACACATGTATGCTCCAGTCTTAAAGATCAAGCTGTTTCAAGATTTAACCCATTCATCGAGCCGTCTATTAACTGGCAATAAAAAAGACCAGTTTCTAATTCAAACAAATTCTCAAGAAGTTGGAGAACTAACATAATGTTTAGCTATGATCATTCAATAAGAAATAGTTTCAGCAAATTAATGAGTTAATTTAAATTTGAGAATCAGAAATGTATTGCACGGTGCTTGGCCTTTCAGAACTATCTCTTCTTAAAGATAGTATCCTCAAAACACATGAAAAAGGATGCAAAACATTTCAATTTATACAAAACAGGCAGTACTGTTTAAAGGAAATTAAATAACCACTAAGACATAATAAAACGAATATAAGAAACCTAGTTAAATTCTCAAGACAGAAGCCAATCATTTAATCAATATCATCAATGGTTACTGTTGGAAAGCACTCTTGATGTCCAATATTAGACTGATCTAAGGAATAAACTAATTAATGTAGGTGCTTCAATGAAATTGTCCAAAAATGTCCATTCTGAAGTGACTCCTGATGGAAACAACTCCAGTTAATTTTTGGATCCTGAAATTATCGATTAGAGAAATTCCACAATCAAAATTTAGTGCCAAAATTCCTTGTTAATGGCTCTCTCCTACCACAATAACAAGCTTAAGAGACATCCAAACAAATCAATTGTTTGTTCTAAAGAACATCTTCATGTTCCTAGCCTTTCTACCAACCTAGTGTCTATTCAAAAACCTCATCAATGATATGAATAACTAAGTAACATTTTTTTCAACTTGTTATGCAATTCATAAATAGTAGACGATGAAGAAGAATGGGCTTGCCAAGCAAAATATGAACTCTACTTTCTTGAAAAATCAAGTAATTCAAAGAGTTTAAAAAATTATCTACTTTATTCTTTCCCTTCAACCTCAAATAAAGATAACATATGACTTTGTCATCATCTCTTGGTCATCCTTGATTTGGAACCTTAAAAATTGTGTTTCCTCTACTCTTTAAAAAATATTGATGAAAATATTTTTCATTGTGATGTTTATGAAATTGCAAAACATTAATACATGTATTTTCCACCTAGCAACGAAATAAGGTTTATTCTTTTTTATTTGTCATTATCACATCTAGGATCTATCTTTTATTCACAAGGTATCAAGTACTAGTAGGTTTGTTTCCTTCATAAATAATTGCACTATAATTTCCTAAATTTTCCTAATTGGATCTAATCACGTTAGTATTTCCCTTCCTACTTTTATATATAACCCAAAATAAATCTTTGATGAATTCAAGAAATTTCAATCTGGATTACTTCAACCAAATTGTCCCCATATTATCAGGAGGGAATAGTTCATGAGACTTCACGCATTAAGACTCCTCAACAAAATAGGGGTCATAAAGAAAAATGGTTACTTATAAGCCAAAACTAACACCTTGTTCTTTGAACAAAATATTCCAAAATTATATTGAAGAAAGGCTATCATTACAGCTACACATATCAAAAAAAGACTATACACTTAATTTTAGCACAATTTGGGCACCAAAAATAAAATCAAATCACGAGGTTTTGGTTGTCCCATCTTTATGCATTGTCACAGTAATAATAAAAGGAAACAAGACCCTAAAGCAATCAAATGTACTTTGCAACTCCTCACCCCAAAAGAGATAAAAGTGTAATGATCCACCTATCAAAACATTCTTTGTTTATACTTATATCACTTTGGAAGAAGAAAAACCTTCCATACTCAATCTTATCTTTAGACAAAGAGTTTTATTGTGGAAGACAATGATAGAGATCTTTTTTTGGATCTAAAATCTTTAACCACATCGTAATCAACTCTTATTAAAATTATCTCCTTGCATATCCATGTTAAGAAACTAATCTAGAAACTGAATTGGTTCCTTCCATCCAATCACAACTCATAAATATCAAATCATGACAATTTAAGTGTTCAATAAGTTACTTATGCCTCGGCTCAATAAGAGCTCGTTCGTATTTGTTTGATTAATAAATAAAACAAACTTCAACACTTTTATAAATACTTGGTTGTTAAATGAATAGGCTTAAACAACTTGTTGCTCGACTTGTTTATGATCATGAACATTATCATTTAAGGCTCGTGAACAAGTTCGATTAAAGCTCGATATGATACTAAATATAAAGTTTGATTAAAGATGTGTATACTACTTCACATATTTAATACTTAAATAATTTATTTGTAATTATGAAGCTCCATTAAGGCTAGTGAAAAGTAAAATATTAAATTGAAATATCTTCACCTGCTTCTTAAAAGTAAAATATTAAACTTGAATAAATATTATTTTACCCATTGGTCTGACTTCAGATATTAAAATTTTACATTGAGTTTTATTTTTTTAATGAGTAATAAGTAAAATTATATAGAAATATTAAATTAAATAAAAAAGCATTTAAATTAAAAAAATAAGTTTAAAACAGTTTAAAAATACTTTTTTTCAAAATGTATTATATATATAACAAAAGGATAAACCACAACAGCACAAATTCCGATCCCACTCACGTGCCTTCAACTCAAGTTCCACCCATAGAAAAGAAAAAAATAAAAACTCAAGTTCCACCCAGTTTCTGATTCAGTCTTTTTATTTTAGACCCACATTAGATGGACACTTTACATTGCATTGTTTAAATAGTATTACTAAAACTGGGTAGTTAAGCTAAAAGCTCACATGACCCATGTTGCTGAGAGTTGGTAAGATTTTGTTTATTTGGGCGGATATGTTAAACGTGATTTTGCGCCTTAAGTTCGACTCAAATAAGGCTCAATTCTTTATCTAAATGAGTTGCTCATTTAACACTAAACAAGAAAAAAACTGAGTTTCTCTTTTAAATTTTGGTAAACACAAAATGAGCCAAGCTCGAGTAATCTCAATTCAAACTTGAACAAATATGAAATTAAACAAACCAAGCATGAATGCTATTATAAAAACTCAAGACGAGTTTAAACAGATTTTTGGTAAATGAGAAAAAGCTCGAACAACCTCCGTCGCTATTTGTTTACAGCTCTAATGGAATTTAACGATATAAAGAGGTGTATTCAAGCAACCCAATTTCAAATCCTATGTAGGCCCAAGATTCTCTAAATTCCAATAAAACTGAGATAGTTACAATTTGAAAAGAAAAAATAAAGAGCAAACCAAATGCTCATTTTGCATCATTTGAGAAGTTCTCATAATCTCGTAAAACTTTCCTTTTGAGCAAAAAACACTAATTTCAATCTGCAAAATCATGTTTAAGTTTTTGAGGCAGTCCAATGAGAATTTAGGAAAGAAGATAGTGAAGATTGAAGCCTTCAAGATGAACAAAACATAGGAGGATCATGGGGTTGCCTAGAGGAAAGAAATTTGCAAGACGCAAATGATGTTTATGTTTAAATATAAATCAGAGGAAACCTTGAGAGGTATAAAGCAAGATTAATGTCCAAGAGATAGACTCAAACCTATGAAGTAGATTAGCAAGAGAGGTTCACTCCAATAGCAAAGCTGAATATAGTAGAATTAGCATCACCACTAGCCACCATTTTTAACTAGGCTTTGTAGCAATTTGTTTAAATGAAAAATTCTTCACTGATTAAATGAAAAATTCTGGAAGAGAATTTTGTTTAGAAGAAACAAAAAGTCAAAACTTAAAGCTTGCATAGATGCAAATTTTGCAGGTCAATCGTAGATAAGTGATCCACCTTTTGATATTGCACCTTTCTTTGAGGCGATTTGTAACATAGAGAATATATATAAGTAAAATTATATAGAAATATTAAATTAAATAAAAAAGCATTTAAATTAAAAAAATAAGTTAAAAATAGTTTAAAAATACTTTTTTTTCAAAATGTATTATATATTATAGCAAGTTCTAGTGCAATAGCAAAATTCAAATCAATTTCACATAGGATCTGTGAGTTAAGGTGGTTGAAAACTCTCCTTAAGAATCTAAAGATGGAGAGGGAAGAGCCTACCATGACGATAAATCAATAATAGATATTGCACACAACCTTCTGCAAGCAACATAATAAAAAGAAGCATGTTGAGATAGGTAAAAAAAAATTAGACAATGATTTAATTGTAAAGTTTCTGCCTTCACACCATCAACTGGTAGGTGACTTCACAGAGGAACTCAATAATACACAATTTTAGGATATTATTATGATACTAGGAATGGAAGATACCTATTTAACAACTTTCCAGGAAACAAGCCGCTAAACTAAACTAGTTCCTAGACTCCATACTACAAAGGCGTTCAGCAATATGCCAAGATAAGTATATTTGTAATAATCTGTTGTTGTAATAAAAGCGTTAATGATGACAACCTTAAATGGCGTATCCATAAAAGAATTTCATGCTTCCATCATCCAATTGCATAAAATCCAACAAATGAAACATCCGAAAGAAAGAGATTTTACAAGAAAACCGTTACTCGCCATGAATTATCAGAAGATGCAAGCAATTACTATACAAATAACAAACGAACTATCAAATATATGTATCCTAGCCCTAACCCTAACCCTAATCCTCATTGATAATAGAGAAAGGAGCGAGAGACTCTCACATTCTGTGTAGTGGACATAATACTCGTAGTCATTGGTACCGCCGGAAGAAAGCTTACGGCGCTCGATGACCTTGACCGGGTGGAGATTTTGGTCCCTCCATCTGCACATCACACGCGTTCCCACTTCCAACGGCAAACCAACCGTCTTGACCTTTTTCGACGCCGCCTCATCGATTCCTAAAGAAGCCGCCGACGGTAGGTCTATTTCCGTCGCCGGCGACGTAGTGACCATCGCACTGCCGTTGCAAACGGTACCGGTGGCGGCGGCTCCACTCTCCGCCTTAATTCCCTCAATCTCAATAGAGCCCATAGATCGCAATAACTGAACACGCTCGACCCGACCGTGGTTTATAATAATAATAATATCAAAATTATTTCTTGATTTTTTTAATGAATTATTAGAGATTATTTTAATCTCTCAATTTTTTAAAACTTATTATTTTGATTCCATTTTGAGAAATGGAGAGACAAAAATAATTTTTTTATATAGTTGAAGACTATTGATGTATTATCAAAAAATTATCCATGAATCTCGAGGCAAAATCTATCCTTAAACTTCAAAAATTAAATTAAAGAGCATTTGAACTCCGATTTCAGCGAGCTTATAGTCAAACTGAGCGTCTCGGAAATACGAACCCAACGACACCAAATTCGACCCAATCCGAGCCCAAATGGGTCTGAATCATGGACCCGAAGCACTGTTGGAAGGTTCAAACCTCAATTTGAGATACCAAACAGTCTCCGATTTTAACGAGCTTATACGAGACGAAGATCACCGATTTCCGACATCACTAAAACCTTCAAATGTCCAACGAACAATGCACGATCGTAGAATTTAATATCGGCCGTCCATTCAACCACTCCCCCTTATCTCACGCCTATTATGAGCTACGCCACTTCAGAAAATCAATAAATAGAGCCCTCATTCTTCACAAAGAGGATCCAAGTGAAGAGAGAGAAGAAGAGAAGAGAAGGAAGAGAAGGAAGAAGCTCCTCCTCGACCACCGCCGTAGCCTCGCCGGACCATCGCAGGAGGCTCGCTGGACCACCGCATGTAATGTATACCTAAAAAATATGTTTTTAAAAAGATATTTAAAATTGTAATGCATCTAGTTTGGCCAATGAACGTGTTGATTCAACTTAAATTCCATTATGGGAATGATTTGGATCATGATCAACCAATCCATTTCAAAACTTTAACTAATTATATGATTTATTTTTATTAGACTCTACACGCAAAGTTATGCCCTAATTTTTAATTTGTTGCGTTTGCGGCATATGATAAAATTAGAGAGAATAGTCCGAGGGGCTTTTTGATGATTTGATTAGAAGAGTAATTGTATTAGATCCTACTTATGTTAATAAATTTAGAGATAAACCTAAAATATCTTAATTAGAAAGTCTTGAAAATGCTTATTTTTTTATAAAATTTAAATAACAATTTGACTATTTGATAGATACAAAGAAGAAGAAAAATTTATATAACCAAATTCATGTAGTAGGATAAAAATTTAATGTGTTTATCATTATTACATATTTTAAATGTATAATATATATTTTGATAAAAAATTTATAATCATGAGCATTTACTCTTCGTAAAACTCTTTCAACCAATACTAGAGCAATTGATTTTAATTAGAAAATGGCAGAAAATAATGTTTAAAACTATTATTTATTCCTTTATAAGATGAGAAAAATAAGAAAAACGAGATAATTAGTAATATAGACATATACATAATACTTTGCTTAAAAGACGGAAATTCTTGAAACATGCATTTTTGAAACATAAGAAATTCGTTATTACAAATGTCATTAAAAACAATAGAAAATGTCATGGAAATTTTTTTTGAAACATGCATTTTTTTAAAGCCAAATAAAATTAGGATTTTTAAAATTAAAAGACATACGTTATGCGCACATAAAATTCTGCCACGCATGTCAAAGTAAAAGCAGGAATTTTTTTTTTAATAAGATAAACTCATACACATTACACATCACACGTAAATAAAACTTAATTCCATTTTTTTTATTAATAGTCAAAACTCTAAACTAACATACTAAGCTGAGTTGCATGAAAAATAAGAATGTTAACTAAATTTTGTGCAAAACAAAGACTCTTTGTCCCTTTACATTTCCTACAAACTGTCATTCTCTTTGTCAGCGCCACCATGTGGAGAGATATTAGGTGCAGAGTGCGGACGGGGAGAACTGTCCGCACACAAGTATAGGGTACCCAGATGGATACCACTCGGTACCGCTGGGTATCATGTGCTTGTGCGGACGGTCCACACTCCGCACCTAATAATTTTTCCACCATGTGAGGATGAAAAGTGTGGCGAAAAATATAGTAGTTCACAGGCAGTCAATTCAATTTATAATCCACATAAGTATAGTCAACAACATGAACCGTCACCTTACTAAAATCAATTTATAAGCACCAGCTGTGTAGAAAATAAACAATGAAATTTCTTACAAAGCTTAAAATCTCCTTCCCAGTTTGTGCAACCAAGAGATGTTCTTTTAGAGATAATCTGAATAATTTAAGCACTAATTTCAGAGTAAATACACAGATTTTTAATCACCTCACAACACACTTTTACAAGAGAAAAACTAGCATGGGATCATCTTAACCCAGGAGAAGCTAAAGGACTCTAATAATAACATTAGGGTTTCAAGATAAAGCTGCATTAGCCATCATATCCCTCACTAATACAATTCTCTCATATTTCATCATGCTCATTCCACTTACCAAATCAACACTTTTTAAAGCGCAAAGGAACAACCTCACCGATTATGTTCATAATCAAAGTATAATATAGACATTGGTTCGCTGAGCGCCATCATACAACTTTCAGTGCATAATAGCATTTCTAGATGAAGAAAAATAAGAAAAACAGCCAATGTTAAACGGCAATACAATATAATGGACCATGTTCCTATAGACATTCTTTGAATGCTCATTCCCATCACTCCAGTAAAGTATGGCAAAGGGATGTATTTAAGAACTGCAATCAGAACCAGAATTTGGCCTTCGAAGAACAACGAGAACAGGCTGTAATAATATGTTGTCTGTTAATCAAGAGAGTTAACTGATATGCACAAGCTTAAATGTGCGTATCCATAAAACGAATAATCACTGCTTCCATCATCCAATTAAGTATAGTAAAATCCAACCAAATGAAATCATCGAAAAAGAAAGCAGATTTTACAAGAAACTTCATTCGCCCGATGATCTTCAGAAAGATGCAAGCAATTTTATACCATAATAGACACGACTATCCAACAATATGTATCCTAACCTAATCTATTTATAGATCAGAGAACGAAGATGAGAGATTCTCACATTTGTGTAGTGGACAGTAATACTCGTAGTCATTTGGTATGCGCCCCGAAGAAATGCATTTCGTCGCTCCGCATGACCTTGACTAGGGTAGAAGAATTGTGGTCCCCTCCATCTGCACACACGACGCATATCCCACACTCAGCCAAAAGCGAGCAAACCACGCCTTTGACGTTACTTTTAGATTCGCCTGCCTCATGATTCCTTAAGAAGGCCGCGAGGTAGGTCTATTTCCGTCGCAAACGACGTAAGATGACCATCTGATGCTGCGCGATGCGTTGTTCAAACGGTAGCCCGAGGTGGGCTCCAACATTCTCGCCTTAATTCGTCGATAAAGCCCATCGACGGCCCACATAGAGAAATCAAAAATATTTCTTGATTTTTATAAAGGATTAAAATAATCTCTAATTATTATTAAAAGAATATATTTTAAATCATATCAATTTTTTAAACAAATGTATATTTGACTTCGCATTTTGGGAGAATGGGAGAGTATTAATACATTATTTAAATATAAGTTGAAAGATATATTTTAACATATTTTAAAAACTTTTAAAAGATACATTTTATCCGATTTAGCTTAAAAATTATATTTTATTTGAATGATAGGTTGTCTCTCTTTATCTTTTTTTTAAAGTATATCCCCTAAAATATGGTTAAATGGGCAGCATCTAGTTTATGGCCAATGAACGTTATTTAACTTATAATGCAAGATTATGCCTAACTTTCATAATTTGTTGATGTTGATTAGAAATTACGACGAGAATTGTCTGAGTCGGAACTTTTTGAGTGCATTTGATTAGAGACGTAACTATACTATGTGATCCGACCTAGCTACATTAATAAACTTTAGATTTATACATATAAAAAATTCTTGAATTAGAAAAGTCTTGAAAACTGGTACATTATTTTAATAAAATTTAAACATACACATATTAGACTATTTGATAGATACAGACAGAAGAAAAAATGTCATCACAACAAATTCATGTACAGTAGAAGTATAAATTAATGTATATATCACTATACATATTTTAAATGGATAAATATGATATTTTGAACTAAAAAATTATTAAATTAATGAGCATTTACTCTTCCATAAAACTTTTTCAACCAATAACTGAGCAGCAATTGATTGTTACATTAGAAAATGAGCAGAAAATAATGTGACAACTATTATTTATTATTTATAATAGAATTGAGAAAAATAGAAAAACACGATAATTAGGTAATTTAGACATATACATAATACTTTGCTTAAAAGACGGAAATTCTTGAAACATCGCATGTTTTTGAATATAAGAGATTCGGTTATTACAGCATGTATTAAAACAATAGAAATTCATGGAAATATTGAAACAATGCATTTTTTCTTTAAAGCAATAAAATTGGGACTTTTAAAAATATACAAACAGACAACTTTATGAGCTCATAAAATACTGGCCACCCATGTCAAAAAAGTAAATGAAGCAGGAATCTTTTTATTTTATTATATAAGTATATCATACATAAAATTTGGTGGCCGGACGGTCCCAACACGTCGCGCACTAAAGGCAACCTAATAATTCCACCATGTGAGGACTGCCCAGAAATGTGGCGGAAAAAAATAAGTCCCAAGTAGACTTTCACAGTACATAGGAATTATCATTATAATAATCACATCAGTCAATACCGTCAACACATGAAAAACGTCACGCTTTCAAATAATCAATTCAGAACACCAGCCCTGGCAAGATAATAAATAATCGAAAATTCTGGTAAAAAGACTTAAAATCATCGCTTCCAGAATTCGTGCACAAAGATGATCATTTAGGGCATAATTGAAGAAATATCCCCTAAGCACTAAATTTCAGAGATAAATACACGAGATTTTAATCACCTACAACACACATTTTACAAGAGACAACTGAGCATGAGAATCATACTATACCAGGAGAGAGCTAAAGGACTCTAATAAATACATTACGGCTTTCAAGATAAAGCTACAA